CCAATATATTAATAACACCCCCCCAATATATTAATAACACCCCCCAATATATTAATAAACATAAACGCACCAAAAAAAAAAAAAAATCTCAAAGCGACAACAAAAATCGCATTAAAATCCCGAAAGCAAATTAAAAAAAAAAAAAAAACACCAAACAGAAATGCACGGCCGAAACAGTTAAAAAATGCACTAAAAAAATTTAAATAAGGGCAAACTCACAAGAAAAACGAACCAAAAAAAAACAACACAAGGAAACAAAAAAAAAAAATCCACAAGTAAGTCCCGAACGAAAAAACGACACGCACAAAAAAAAAAAAAATTTAAAAGCAAAAAGATTCAACGCAAAAAAAATAAATAAAAATGTATTTTTATTTTACCACGCACACAAGAAAAGAAAAAAATCCGCAGAAAAACAGAGATCAAAACACACGCGCGCGCGAAACGAAATTAAAAGAGAAAAACAAACAAAAATAAAGAAAATTAAGAAAAATAAACAGGAAGGAAAGAAAGGGAAATAAGGAATAAGTGGAAAAAAACGAAATTTGGGCTCGTCCGGGATTTGAACCCGGGACCTCTCGCACCCAAAGCGAGAATCATACCCCTAGACCAACGAGCCGCTGTGTGAAATAATCCCTAAAATTCATTTTACCCCCAAACCGACATGGCCCTGCCATTCCCAGGATTTTTTCCTGTTTTTTTGGGTTTTTTCCAGATTCTGACGCGCAAAAAAAGCGATCAAACCTCGGGCGGGGTAAAAAAAAGGATAAAAAGAGGAAGAAGGAAAATAAAAATGTGAGCGGAGGCCCCAGCGAGATTTGAACTCGCGACCCCTGGTTTACAAGACCAGTGCTCTAACCGCTGAGCTATGGAGCCGGCGCGGCAATCGCGGCTCCGCTGCGGCACCACCGGGGACCGCACCCAAAAGCGGCTGAAATGGCCCCAAAATTGATCTCGTGACTCAAATTTATTCGTTCCTCATCGAAATTGGGGTTTAATGCATGGAAATTGGGGTTTAATGCATGGAAATTGGGGTTTAACGCATTAAAATTGGGGTTCTACACATCGAAATTTGGGTTCAGCACATAAAAATTGGGGTTCTACACATCGAAATTGGGGTTTAACCCATTAAAAATTGGGGAGAAATTCATCAAAAATTGGGTTTCAACCCATAAAAACTGGGATTTAATCCATCAAAAATGGGGTTTAACCATCAAACTTGGGGTTTAACCCATCAAAATCGGGGCGAAATTCATCAAAACTGGGGTATAACCCATCGAAATGGGGATTTAACCCATCGAAATTGGGGTTTAACCCATCAAAAATTGGGTTTCAACCCATCAAAACTGGGGTTTAATCCGTCAAAAATGGGGTTTAACCCATCGAAACAGGTTCAGCCCTTGGAAATTCCAATTTTATTTGATTTTAAAGGGATTTTGGCCTCTGTCCAGTGCTCTAACCGCTGAGCTATGGAGCCGGCGCGGCAAGCGCGGCCCCGCTGCGGCACCACCGGGGACCGCACCCAAAAGCGCCTCGAATGGCCCCAAAATTGACTTAGTGACCCAAATTTCTTCGTCCCTCATCGAAATTGGGGTTCAGCACATCAAAATTTGGGTTCAGCACATAAAAATTGGGGTTTAACCCATTAAAATTGGGGTTCTACACATCGAAATTGGGGTTTAACACATGGAAATTGGGGTTTAATTCATTAAAATTGGGGTTTAATTCATTAAAATTGGGGTTTAACCCATTAAAATTGGGGTTTAACCCATCGAAATTGGGGTTTAACCCATTAAAATTGGGGTTCTACACATCGAAATTGGGGTTTAACGCATCGAAATTGGGGTTTAACGCATTAAAATTGGGGTTCTACATATCGAAATTGGGGTTTAACCCATCGAAATTGGGGTTTAACCCATTAAAATCGGGGCTCAATCATCAAAAATTGGGTTTTAAACTTGAGGTTTAACCCACCAAAAATTGGGGTTTAACCCATCAAAATTGGGGTTTAACCCATCAAATTTGGGGTTTAACCCATCGAAATTGGGGTTTAACCCATCAAAATTGGGGTTTAACCCATCAAAATCGGGGCTCAATCATTAAAAATTGGGTTTTAAACTTGAGGTTTAAACCATCAAAATTGGGGTTCAACCCATCAAAATTGGGGTTTAATCCATTAAAATTGGGATTTAACCCCTCAAAATTGAGGTTTAACCCATCAAAATCGGGGTTTAACCCATTAAAATTGGGGTTTAACCCATTAAAATTTGGATTCAGCACATAAAAATTGGGGTTTAACCCATTAAAATTGAGGTTTAACACATCAAAAATTGGGGTTTAACCCATCAAAATTGGGGTTTCACCCATCAAAATTGGGGTTTCACCCATCAAAAAATTGGGTTTTAACCCATAAAAACTGGGGTTTAATCAGTCAAAATTGGGGTTTAACCCATCAAAAATTGGGGTTTAATCCATTAAAATTGGGGTTTAACCCATCGAAATTGGGATTTAACCCATCAAAATTGGGGTTTAACCCATCAAAAATTGGGTTTAACCCATAGAAATTGGGGTTTAATCCATTAAAATTGGGTTTAACCCATCAAAATTGGGGTTTAACACATGGAAATTGGGGTTCAACCCATCGAAATTGGGGTTTAACCCATTAAAATTGGGGTTTAACCCATCAAAATTGGGGTTTAACCCATGGAAATTGGGGTTTAACGCATTAAAATTGGGGTTTAATTTATTAAAATTGGGGTTTAATCCACCAAAATGGGGTTTAACCCATTAAAATTAGGGTTTAACCCATTAAAATTGGGGTTTAATTCATTAAAAATTGGGGTTTAACCCACCAAGAATTGGGGTTTAACCCATTAAAATTGGGGTTTAACCCATTAAAATTGGGGTTTAATTCATTAAACTTGAGGTTTAATTTACCAAAATTGGGGTTTAACCCATCAAAATTGGGGTTTATATTGTATTGAAGGCATATATAAAATAAATTATATAATTATTTTATTTTATTTTATTTTATTTATTTCTGTCGTTTCACACATTTTATTCCCATTTCTTGTGGCTTCATCTCTGAGCTGCTGCACTTTTAAATAATTTGGATTTTCCAGCTAATTCATTAATAAAAAATATAAATTTAAATCTCAGGGTAGGAACCAACCCAAAAGATGAAAATTTTGGATGTTTCTGGTTTTTTTTTTCATCTCGAGCATCCAAAAAAATGTTGTTGATCAAATAAATCTTCCCCCCACTTTGCCCCAAGTGTGTAATTTCCTAAAAATATGTGTTTTGTGGAAAAAAATCTGAAATTCAGGCAATGAGACACTGTTTTTTTTATTTTTTATTTTTTATTTATTTTTTATTTTTTATTTTTTCATTTTTTATTTTTTATATTTTATTTTTTTATTTTTTATTTTTTATTTTTATTTTTATTTTTTATTTTTTATTTTTTATTTTGTATTTTTTAGTTTTTATTTTTTTATTTTTTATTTTTTATTTTGTATTTTGTATTTTGTATTTTGTATTTTGTATTTTGTATTTTGTATTTTTTTATTTTGTATTTTTTATTTTTTTATTTTTTATTTTTTAGTTTTTTTTTTTTTTTAATTTTTCATTTTTCATTTTTCATTTTTCATTTTTCATTTTTCATTTTTCATTTTTCATTTTTCATTTTTTTAAAGCTGCTTTGCTTTTTTTCTTTTTTTTTTTTAATTTGTTTTTTTAGTTTTTTGGGGTTTTTTTGGTTTTTTGGTTTTGGGTTTTTTTTGGCAAAACCAGAGCGGACAAAGCAAATGCGAATTCAGCCAAAGCTTCCAGGGGAAAAAAAATAAAACCAGAAATGAGGATAAAAACGTGATTTTGCTGATTTTGCCGAGAAGCTGAAGGAACACAAAATTCAGCACCGAAACCCACGCAAAGCGTGAGAACCACGAGGGAAATTGGGGAAAATCCACGGAAAAAAAACGTCGGGACGGGGAGAACCGGAGGGAGAAATGTGGGATTGTTCAGGTCCAGGAGAAAAATCACTAAAAAACCCAAAAAAAAAGCCAAAAAAAAGCCAAAAAAAAGCCAAAAAAAAGCCAAAAAAAAGCCCAAAAAAAGCCAAAAAAAAGCCCAAAAAAAGCCAAAAAAAAGCCAAAAAAAAGCCAAAAAAAAGGCAAAAAAAAAGGCAAAAAAAAGGCAAAAAAAAAGCCAAAAAAAAGCCAAAAAAGAGCCCAAAAAAAGGCAAAAAAAAGCCAAAAAAAGCCAAAAAAAAGCCAAAAAAAAGCCAAAAAAAAGCCAAAAAAAAGGCAAAAAAAAGCCAAAAAAAAGCACCTTTTAGCCTTTGAGTTGGTGGCCGCCATCTTTTACTTGGTGACCACCATCTTTGAGTTGGTGGCCGCCATCTTTGAGTTGGTGACCACCATCTTTGAGTTGGTGTCTTTGAGTTGGTGTCTTTGAGTTGGTGGCCGCCATCTTTGAGTTGGTGGCCGCCATCTTTGAGTTGGTGACCACCATCTTTGAGTTGGTGGCCACCATCTTTGACTTGGTGTCTTTGGGTTGATGGCCACCATCTTTGAGTTGGTGGCCACCATCTTTGAGTTGGTGGCCGCCATCTTTGAGTTGGTGACCGCCATCTTTGAGTTGGTGGCCGCCATCTTTGAGTTGGTGGCCGCCATCTTTGAGTTGGTGTCTTTGAGTTGGTGGCCGCCATCTTTGAGTTGGTGGCCACCATCTTTGAGTTGGTGGCCACCATCTTTGAGTTGGTGGCCGCCATCTTTGAGTTTGTGGTCACCATCTTTGAGTTGGTGTCTTCGAGTTCGTGACCACCATCTTTGAGTTGGTGACCACCATCTTTGAGTTGGTGGCCACCATCTTTGAGTTGGTGGCCACCATCTTTGAGTTGGTGGCCGCCATCTTTGAGTTGGTGTCTTTGAGTTGGTGGCCGCCATCTTTGAGTTGGTGGCCACCATCTTTGAGTTGGTGGCCGCCATCTTTGAGTTGGTGGCCACCATCTTTGAGTTGTTGATCACCATCTTTGAGTTGGTGGCCGCCATCTTTGAGTTGGTGGCCGCCATATTTGAGTTGATGACCACCATCTTTGAGTTGGTGTCTTTGAGTTGGTGGCCGCCATCTTTGAGTTGGTGACCACCATCTTTGAGTTGGTGGCCACCATCTTTGAGTTGGTGGCCGCCATCTTTGAGTTGGTGGCTGCCATCTTTGAGTTGGTGGCCGCCATCTTTGAGTTGGTGGTCACCATCTTTGAGTTGGTGACCGCCATCTTTGAGTTGGTGGCCACCATCTTTGAGTTGGTGGTCACCATCTTTGAGTTGGTGTCTTTGAGTTGGTGGCCACCATCTTTGAGTTGGTGTCTTTGAGTTGGTGGCCACCATCTTTGAGTTGGTGACCACCATCTTTGAGTTGGTGGCCACCATCTTTGAGTTGGTGACCACCATCTTTGAGTTGGTGGTCACCATCTTTGAGTTGGTGGCCACCATCTTTGAGTTGGTGGCCGCCATCTTTGAGTTGGTGACCACCATCTTTGAGTTGGTGACCACCATCTTTGAGTTGGTGGCCGCCATCTTTGAGTTGGTGACCACCATCTTTGAGTTGGTGACCACCATCTTTGAGTTGGTGTCTTTGAGTTGGTGACCACCATCTTTGAGTTGGTGGCCGCCATCTTTGAGTTGGTGGCCACCATCTTTGAGTTGGTGACCACCATCTTTGAGTTGGTGACCACCATCTTTGAGTTGGTGACCACCATCTTTGAGTTGGTGGCCGCCATCTTTGAGTTGGTGGCCGCCATCTTTGAGTTGGTGACCGCCACCTTTGAGTTGGTGGCCGCCATCTTTGAGTTGGTGGCCGCCATCTTTGAGTTGCTGACCACCATCTTTGAGTTGGTGACCACCATCTTTGAGTTGGTGACCACCATCTTTGAGTTGGTGGCGGCCATCTTTGAGTTGGTGACCACCATCTTTGAGTTGGTGTCTTTGAGTTGGTGGCCACCATCTTTGAGTTGGTGTCTTTGAGTTGGTGGCCGCCATCTTTGAGTTGGTGTCTTTGAGTTGGGAACCACCATCTTTGAGTTGGTGACCACCATCTTTGAGTTGGTGGCCACCATTTTGGAGATGGTGACCGCCATCTTTGAGTTGGTGTCTTTGAGTTGGTGGCCGCCATCTTTGAGTTGGTGGCCGCCATCTTTGAATTGGTGACCACCATCTTTGAGTTGGTGACCACCATCTTTGAGTTGGTGTCTTTGAGTTGGTGACCGCCATCTTTGAGTTGGTGACGCCATCTTTGAGTTGGTGACCACCATCTTTGAGTTGGTGGCCGCCATCTTTGAGTTGGTGGCCACCATCTTTGAGTTGGTGACCACCATCTTTGAGTTGGTGTCTTTGAGTTGGTGGCCGCCATCTTTGAGTTGGTGGCCGCCATCTTTGAGTTGGTGGCCGCCATCTTTGAGTTGGTGTCTTTGAGTTGGTGGCCGCCATCTTTGAGTTGGTGGCCGCCATCTTTGAGTTGGTGGCCGCCATCTTTGAGTTGGTGTCTTTGAGTTGGTGGCCGCCATCTTTGAGTTGGTGGCCGCCATCTTTGAGTTGGTGACCACCATCTTTGAGTTGCTGACCACCATCTTTGAGTTGGTGGCGGCCATCTTTGAGTTGGTGACCACCATCTTTGAGTTGGTGTCTTTGAGTTGGTGGCCACCATCTTTGAGTTGGGAACCACCATCTTTGAGTTGGTGACCACCATCTTTGAGTTGGTGGCCACCATTTTGGAGATGGTGACCGCCATCTTTGAGTTGGTGTCTTTGAGTTGGTGGCCGCCATCTTTGAGTTGGTGTCTTTGAGTTGGTGACCACCATCTTTGAGTTGGTGACCACCATCTTTGAGTTGGTGACCACCATCTTTGAGTTGGTGGCCGCCATCATTGAGTTGGTGGCCACCATCTTTGAGTTGGTGTCTTTGAGTTGGTGGCCGCCATCTTTGAGTTGGTGACCACCATCTTTGAGTTGGTGACCACCATCTTTGCGTTGGTGGTCGCCATCTTTGAGTTGGTGACCACCATCTTTGAGTTGGTGTCTTTGAGTTGGTGACCACCATCTTTGAGTTGGTGGCCGCCATCTTTGAGTTGGTGTCTTTGAGTTGGTGGCCACCATCTTTGAGTTGGTGGCCACCATCTTTGAGTTGGTGTCTTTGAGTTGGTGGCCACCATCTTTGAGTTGGTGGCCACCATCTTTGTGTTGGTGTCTTTGAGTTGGTGACCACCATCTTTGAGTTGGTGTCTTTGAGTTGGTGGCCGCCATCTTTGAGTTGGTGACCGCCATCTTTGAGTTGGTGACCACCATCTTTGAGTTGGTGACCACCATCTTTGAGTTGGTGACCACCATCTTTGAGTTGGTGTCTTTGAGTTGGTGGCCGCCATCTTTGAGTTGGTGACCACCATCTTTGAGTTGATGGCCGCCATCTTTGAGTTGGTGTCTTTGAGTTGGTGGCCGCCATCTTTGAGTTGGTGGCTGCCATCTTTGAGTTGGTGGCCGCCATCTTTGAGTTGGTGGCCGCCATCTTTGAGTTGGTGGCCGCCATCTTTGAGTTGGTGACCACCATCTTTGAGTTGCTGACCACCATCTTTGAGTTGGTGACCACCATCTTTGAATTGGTGTCTTTGAGTTGGTGGCCACCATCTTTGAGTTGGTGACCACCATTTTTGAGTTGGTGGCCACCATCTTTGAGTTGGTGTCTTTGAGTTTGTGGTCACCATCTTTGAGTCGGTGGCCGCCATCTTTGAGTTGGTGGCCACCATCTTTGAGTTGGTGGCCGCCATCTTTGAGTTGGTGACCACCATCTTTGAGTTGGTGGCCGCCATCTTTGAGTTGGTGACCACCATCTTTGAGTTGGTGACCACCATCTTTGAGTTGGTGACCACCATCTTTGAGTTGGTGTCTTTGAGTTGGTGGCCGCCATCTTTGAGTTGGTGGCCGCCATCTTTGAGTTGGTGACCACCATCTTTGAGTTGGAGTCTTTGAGTTGGTGGCCGCCATCTTTGAGTTGGTGACCACCATCTTTGAGTTGGTGACCACCATCTGTGAGTTGGTGACCACCATCTTTGAGTTGGTGGCCGCCATCTTTGAGTTGGTGGCCGCCATCTTTGAGTTGGTGTCTTTGAGTTGGTGGCCGCCATCTTTGAGTTGGTGACCACCATCTTTGAGTTGGTGACCACCATCTTTGAGTTGGTGACCACCATCTTTGACTTGGTGGCCACCATCTTTGAGTTGGTGGCCGCCATCTTTGAGTTGGTGGCCACCATCTTTGAGTTGGTGGCCGCCATCTTTGAGTTGGTGACCACCATCTTTCAGTTGGTGTCTTTGAGTTGGTGGCCGCCATCTTTGAGTTGGTGGTCGCCATCTTTGAGTTGGTGACCACCATCTTTGAGTTGGTGTCTTTGAGTTGGTGGCCACCATCTTTGAGTTGGTGGCCACCATTTTGGAGTTGGTGACCACCATCTTTGATTTGATGACCACAACCTTCCTTTAAGCTTCCAACCACCATTTCTGGCCACCGCTGGACTTCTCTCCTGCCCTGAAGACCCTCCTGGTGACCACCTCCCACCAAACCAAACCCATCTGAGTCTTTGGCGCTCCTCATGGGCACAGTTTGATGTAGGTGACGGTGGAACAGACGGAAAAAAGCGGGAACACCTTCTCCTTGAAGGCCACGTTGAAGGTGAAGATGTGCTTCATGTTCTCCGCGTCGTAGAAGGAGACCTCCTCACCTTCATAGTCCAGGTAGACACGGACACGACTCAACTTGTGGTCAACGCACAACGGCGTCCTCTGAGGTGACGTCACGGCCCAGTAACGTCCTCCATTCTGCTGCACGGCCCAGATCCCTTCCTCAGGAGAAAACTGCGTCAAACCCTTCCTACGGACGGACTCCTTGGCCACCCCAAAGGCCCAACCATCAGAAGGTCCCACCTCCACCTCCCAGAAGTGCCGCCCCGAGGAGAAGCCGGCGCTGGCCAGGACGCGCGAGTTGGTGTCGAAGCGTTTGGGGTTGTCCGGCAGCTCCTGCTTCCGGCAGCCCATGCGGACGGTCTTGAGGTCGGCCGAGAGGATCAGGAGGTGGTTGGCCGAGTCGGGGTCCAGGGTCAGGTCTTCTGGTTTTGGGGGGGGACAGCAGAGGACAATGTCAGGATGGGTTTGAGGGATTCAAAATTGGACTTAAAATGGGTTTAATTGGTTTTTTGGGTCAGAATAAAGAATTCTTCCTTTCATTTTTGTATCTCAGATACTTCAGGAGGCACCAAACCAGCAGAAGACACGAGGTCAGGATGGGTTTGAGGGATTCAAAATTGGACTTAAAATGGGTTTAATCGGTTTTTTGGGTCAGAATAAAGAATTCTATTTTCGTTTTTGTATCTCAGATACTTCAGGAGGCACCAAACCAGAAGGGACAGCAGAGGACACGAGGTCAGGATGGGTTTGAGGATTAAAAATTTGACTCAAAATGGGTTTAATTGGTTTTTGGATCATTTTTTTGGGTTTTTTTGGGTCAGAATAAAGAATTCTATTTTCATTTTTATATCTCAGATACTTCAGGAGGCACCAAACCAGCAGAGACAGCAGAGGACAATGTCAGGATGGGTTTGAGGGATTCAAAATTGGACTCAAAATGGGTTTAATCAGTTTTTTGGGTCAGAATAAAGAATTCTTCCTTTCATTTTTGTATCTCAGATACTTCAGGAGGCACCAAACCAGCAGAGGACACGAGGTCAGGATGGGTTTGAGGGATTCAAAATTTGACTCGAAATGGGTTTAATCGGTTTTTTGATCGGCTTTTTTCGGTTTTTGGAGGTTTTTGGGTCAGAATAAAGAATTCTTCCTTCCGTTTTTGTATCTCAGATACTTCAGGAGGCACCAAACCAGCAGAGGACAAGGTCAGGATGGGTTTGACGATTAAAAATTTGACTCAAAATGGGTTTAATCAGTTTTTGGATCATTTTTTTGGGGTTTTGGATCTCAGAATAAAGAATTCTATTTTCATTTTTGTATCTCAGCTACTTCAGGAGGCACCAAACCAGCAGAGGACACGAGGTCAGGGTGGGTTTGAGGGATTCAAAATTTGACTCAAAATGGGTTTAATTGGTTTTTTGATGGGTTTTTTTGGGTTTTGGAGGTTTTTGGGTCAGAATAAAGAATTCTATTTTCATTTTTGTATCTCAGCTACTTCAGGAGGCACCAAACCAGGAGGAACAGCAGAGGACACGAGGTCAGGATGGGTTTGAGGATTAAAAATTTGACTCAAAATGGGTTAATTAATTAAATTTGCCTGGAATTTAATTGAAAAGGAGTTAAACTGTTCAAAAATTCATTAATTTTTTCTTGGATTTAATAGAAAAGGAGTTAAATTCTTAAAAAATTCATTAAATTTTTCTTGGATTTAATTGAAAAGGAGTTAAATTCTCAAAAAATTAATTGAATTTTCCTGGGATTTAATTGAAAATGAGTTAAATTCTTAATTAAATTTTAAAAAATCAGTTAAATTCTGCTGGGATTTAATTGAAAAGGACTTAAATTATTTTCTTTTTTTGTTTGTTTGGGGTTTTTTGTTTGTTTGGGGATTTTGGGGTTTTTTTTTGTTGTTTTTTGTGTGTTTTTTTTTTTTTGGTCCTGGTTTGGGTTTTTGGTATTTTTATTTTATTTTAATTTTATTTTTATTTTTATTTTATTTTTATTTTTATTTTTATTTTTATTTTTATTTTTATTTTTATTTTTATTTTTATTTTTATTTTTATTTTTATTTTTATTTTTATTTTTATTTTTATTTTTATCTTTATTTTTATTTTTATCTTTATTTTTATCTTTATTTTTATTTTTTATTTTTATTTTTATTTTTATTTTTACTTTTACTTTTACTTTTACTTTTATTTTTATGGGGAGGGTTTTTTTTGTTTTCTTTTCTTTTCTTTTTCCTTTTTCCTTTTTTGTCCCCTCCTCTCTTTGGCTTTGCGAACTCCAACCAAAATTTCAATTTTGAGTCTTTTTTCCGGGCACCTGAAATGTCTTTTTTTTGTTTGTATTTTACCTTTTTTCCCATTTTTTTTACCTTTTTCGCCTCTTCCCAGCTCGTCCTGCAGGTGTTCTGAAGAGAGAAAAAATAAATTTATTTTTGGGGATTTTGGCACCGAAGCGTCGGCAAAGGCTGAGGATGGAGCGGCAAAATGGGGAGAATCGCGATAAATAAATTTAATTTTTGTTAAAATCGATTTTATTTATATAAAATAGAATATAGTATAATATAATGTAATGTATTGTGATATATTATAGTATAATACTATACTATACTATACTATAATAATAATAAAATATAATATAATAATAATATAATAATAATATAATAATATATAATATAACATAATATAATATAATATAACATAATATAACATAATATAATATAATATAATATAATATAATATAACATAATATAATATAACATAATATAATATAATATAATATAATATAATATAATATAATATAATATAATATAATATAATATAATATAATATAATATAATATAATATAATATAATATAATATAATATAATATAATATAATACAATATAAAATAATGTAATATAATAGAATATAATGTAATATAATATAATGTAATATAGTATAATATAAAATAATGTAATATAATAAAATATAATGTAATATAATGTAATGTAATATAATGTAATGTAATATAATAAAATATAATGTAATATAATGTAATGTAATATAATGTAATGTAATATAATAAAATATAATGTAATATAATGTAATGTAATGTAATGTAATGTAATATAATATAATATAATATATTATAATTAATATAATATAATATAATATAATATAATATAATGTAATGTAATATAATATAATATAATATAATATAATGTAATGTAATGTAATGTAATGTAATGTAATATAATATAATATAATATAATATAATATAATATAATATAATATAATATAATATAATATAATATAATATAATATAATATAATATAATATAATATAATATAATATAATGTAATGTAATGTAATGTAATATAATGTAATATATCATAATATATCATAATACATCATAATATATCACAATATATCACAATATATCACAATATATTATAATATTTTAAATTTTTAACCATTTTTTTAACCTTTTTTTTACTTTTTCCACCCACCTCGGAATTTTTTCAGAACTTTTTCCAGGACGACGGTTTTGAGGGAAAAATTACAAACGTGAATTTTCATCTCGGTGGAGACCGGGACGGGTTTCTGGTACTTCACCTCGTCGGTTCTGGGGAAAAAATGGGAAAAAATGGGAAAAAATGGGGAAAAATGGGGAAAAAATGGGGAAAAAATGGGGAAAAATGGGGAAAAAATGGGGAAAAATGGGGGAAAAATGGGGAAAAATTGGGAAAAAATGGGAAAAAAAGGGGAAAAATGGGGAAAAATGGGGAAAAAAATGGGGAAAATGGGAAAAATGGGGAAAAAAGGGGAAAAAATGGGAAAAAAATGGGGAAAAATGGGGGAAAAATGGGAAAAAATGGGGAAAAATGGGAAAAAAAGGGGTAAAAAATGGGGAAAAATGGGAAAAAATGGGGAAAAATGGGGAAAATTGGAAAAAATGGGAAAAATGGGAAAAAATGGAGAAAAAATGGGAAAAATGGGGAAAAATGGGGAAAAAATGAGGAAAAATGGGGAAAAATGGGAAAAAATGGGGAAAAATGGGGAAAAATGGGGAAAAATGGGAAAAAAATGGGAAAAATGGGAAAAAATGGGGAAAAAAATGGGAAAAAAAATGGGGGGAAAATGGGGAAAAAATGGGAAAAAATGGGGAAAAATGGGAAAAATGGGGAAAAAATGGGGGGAAAATGGGGAAAAAATTGGGAAAAATTGGTAAAAAATGGGAAAAATGGGAAAAATGGGAAAAAATGGGGGAAAATGGGGGAAAAATGGGGGGAAATGGGGAAAAAATGGGGGAAAATGGGAAAAAATGGGGGAAAATGGGGAAAAATGGGAAAAAAAGGGAAAAATGGAAAAAATGGGGAAAAAATGGGGAAAAATGGGAAAAAATGGGGGAAAATGGGGAAAAATGGGGAAAAATGGGGAAAAATGGGAAAAATTGGGAAAAATGGGGAAAATTGGAGAAAAATGGGAAAAAATGGGGAAAAAATGGGGAAAAATGGGGAAAAAATGGGGGAAAATGGGAAAAAATGGGAAAAATGGGAAAAATGGGAAAAAATGGGAAAAAATGGGGAAAAATGGGAAAAAGTGGGAAAAATGGGGAAAAAATGGGGAAAAAATGGGGGAAAAATGGGGAAAAATGGGGAAAAATGGGGAAGAAATGGGGAAAAATGGGAAAAAATGGGGAAAATGGGAAAAAAATGGGAAAATGGGGAAAAATGGGAAAAAATGGGAAAAAATGGGGAAAAAATGGGGAAAAAAATGGGGAAAAAATGGGAAAAAATGGGGAAAAAAATTGGGAAAAAAATTGGGAAAAAATTCGGAAAAAATGGGAAAAAATGGGGGAAAAAATGGGGGGAAAATGGGAAAAATGGGAAAAAATGGGAAAAAATTGGGAAAAAATGGGAAAAAATGGGAAAAATTGGAAAAAATGGGAAAAAATTGGGGAAAATGGGGAAAAATAGGAAAAAATTGGAAAAAATGGGGAAAAATGGGGAAAAAAATGGGGAAAAATGGGAAAAATGGGAAAAAATGGGGAAAAAATGGGAAAAAAATTGGGAAAAAATGGGAAAAATGGGAAAAATGGGAAAAAATGGGGGAAAATGGGGGAAAAATGGGGGGAAATGGGGAAAAAATGGGGGAAAATGGGAAAAAATGGGGGAAAATGGGGAAAAAATGGGAAAAAAGGGGAAAAAATGGAAAAAATGGGGAAAAAATGGGGAAAAATGGGGAAAAAAATGGGGAAAAATGGGAAAAATGGGGAAAATGGGGAAAAATGGGGAAAAATGGGGAAAAATGGGAAAAAATTGAGAAAAAATGGGAAAAAATGGGGAAGAATGGGAAAAAATGGGGAAAAATGGGGGAAAATGGGGAAAAAATGGGGGAAAAATGGGAAAAAATGGGGAAAAATGGGAAAAAATGGGAAAAAATGGGAAAAAATGGGGAAAAATGGGAAAAATGGGAAAAAATGGGGAAAAAATGGGGAAAAAATGGGGGAAAAATGGGGAAAAATGGGGAAAAATGGGGAAAAATGGGGGAAAAGTGGGGAAAAATGGGAAAAAATGGGGAAAATGGGAAAAAATGGGAAAAAATGGGAAAAAATGGGAAAAAATGGGAAAAAATGGAAAAAAATGAGAAAAAATGGGAAAAAATGGGGAAAAAAATGGGGAAAAAAATGGGGAAAAAATGGGAAAAAATGGGAAAAAATGGGGGAAAAAATGGGGGGAAAATGGGAAAAATGGGAAAAAATGGGAAAAAATGGGGAAAAATGGGGAAAAATGGGAAAAATTTGGATAAAAATGGGAAAAAATTGGGGAAAATGGGGAAAAATAGGAAAAAATTGGAAAAAATGGGGAAAAATGGGGAAAAATGGGGAAAAATGGGAAAAAATGGGAAAAAATGGGGAAAAAATGGGAAAAAATGGGGAAAAATGGGAAAAAATGGGGGGAAAATGGGAAAAAATGGGGGAAAATGGGGGAAAATGGGGAAAAAATGGGTAAAAATGGGAAAATATGGGAAAATATGGGAAAAAATGGGAAAAAATGGGAAAAAATGGGAAAAATGGGGGAAATGGAAAAATGGGGGAAAATGGGGAAAATATGGGAAAAATGGGGAAAAATGGGAAAAAATGGGGAAAAAATGGGGAAAAATGGGGAAAAATGGGAAAAAAATGGGGAAACAGTGGGGGAAAATGGGGAAAAACGGAGAAAAAATGGGGAAAAAACTGGGAAAAATTTGGAAAAAACTGGGGAAAATGGGAAAAATGGGGAAAAAATGGGAAAAAATGGGGAAAAAATGGGGAAAAATTGGAAAAAATTGGAAAAAATGGGGGAAAAAATGGGGAAAAAATGGGAAAAAATTGGGAAAAATGGGGGGAAAATGGGGAAAAAATGGGAAAAAATGGGGAAAAAATGGGGAAAAATGGGGAAAAAATGGGGAAAAAATGGGAAAAATGGGGAAAAATGGGAAAAAATGGGAAAAATGGGAAAAATGGGAAAAAATGGGGAAAAATGGGAAAAAATGGGAAAAAATTTTTTAAAAATTTTTAGGATGTTATAGATCCATTCAATATGGAGGAGATCGTGTGAAAAATTTCAATTTTCGGTGGATTTTCGGAATCAGAAGAATTCCAAACCTTTTTATGATTCCCGTCACATCCTGAAAAAGAAAAAAAGAAAGAAAAATCAAAACCTCCTCCCGTAATTTTGGCACCTTCACACCTTTATTTTTTCATTATTTTTTTACTCTCACATTAATCAAAACCCCCAAAAAATCAAAAAAAATCCCCAAATTTGGCTGAAATGGAGAAAAAAGTGATTTTTCGAAATCAAAAATTAACCCCGAACTCGGCCATAATTTGTTTTTTCTGCACTCAAAATTTAAAAAAAAGGAATTTTTTGGGTTCAAAAGTTGATTTTTAATAAATATAAATTGGTTTTTAGGCACAGAGAGCGCGGGGGGTGAATTTCCACCCCCGGCCAAGCCCTGAAATGCAAATATTGCAAATAAAAAATAAATATTGACAGTAGGTAGGAGGCAGCCAGGGAGGGAATTTAACCCTCTGCTGATCTGCATTGAAATAAAAATAAATATTTAAATAAAAATAAATGTTTAAATAAAAAAATAAATGTTTAATTAAAAAATAAATGTTTAAATAAAAATAAATATTGAAATAAAAATAAACGTATAAATAAAAAAATGAGGTTTTTTTCATTAAAGACACAATTAAAAAATGCCATTTTTCTCATGAAAAACAGAATTAAAAAAGACAATTAAAGACAGAATAAAAATGATTTTTTTTCCTTAAAGACAGAATAAAAAAATGACATTTTTTGAAAATTAATAGGAGAGTAAAAAATTACTTTTTTTCCTTAAACACAGACTAAAAAAAGTCTTTTTTTCATGAAAAACAGTATAAAAAATTACAATTAAAGACAGAATAAAAAAGGACTTTTTTTTCCTTAAACACAGACTAAAAACCGCCATTTTTTCCACAAAACACCCTAAAAAAATGCCATTTTTTTCCATGAAACACAGACTAAAAACCACCATTTTTTCCACAAAACACCCTAAAAAACGCCATTTTTTTTCATGAAACACACTAAAAACCACCATTTTTTTCATAAAACACAACTAAAAAACGCCATTTTTTCCACAAAACCCAACCCAAAAAACGCCATTTTTTCCACAAAACCCAACCAAAAAACGCCATTTTTTCCACAAAACCCACCCCAAAAAACGCCATTTTTTCCACAAAACCCAACCCAAAACCCACCATTTTTTCCACCAAACACCCCAAAAAACGCCATTTTTTTCATGAAACACAAACCAAAAAACGCCATTTTTTCCATAAAACACAAATAAAAAAACGCCATTTTTTCCATGAAACACAAACTAAAAACGCCATTTTTTCCATGAAACACGAACCAAAAACGCCATTTTTTTCATGAAACAAACTAAAAACCACCATTTTTTCCATAAAACACAGACTAAAAAATGACTTTTTTTCCTTAAACACAGACAAAAAAATTAATTTTTTTCACGAAACTCAAACTAAAAAACGCCATTTTTTTCATCAAACAAAGACTAGAAAATGACTTTTTTTTCATGAAACACAAACTAAAAACCACCATTTTTTTCATAAAACACAGACTAAAACCGCCATTTTTTCCACAAAACCCAAACTAAAAACCACCATTTTTCCATGAAACACAGACAAAAAAGTGAATTTTTTTCATGAAACACAGACTAGAAAATGACTTTTTTTTCCATGAAACACAAACCAAAAAACGCCATTTTTTTCACGAAACACAAACTAAAAACCGCCATTTTTTTCATATAACCCAACCAAAAAACGCCATTTTTCCCACAAAACCCAACCCAAAAAACGCCATTTTTTCCACCAAACACACCAAAAAACGCCATTTTTTCCACAAAACCCAAACCAAAAAACGCCATTTTTTCCATGAAACACAAACCAAAAAATGCCATTTTTTCATGAAACACAGACTAAAACTGCCATTTTTTCCATGAAAAACAAACCAAAAAACGCCATTTTTTCCACAAAACCCAAACCAAAAAACGCCATTTTTTCCATGAAACACAAACTAAAAAATGCCATTTTTTCCATGAAACACAGACCAAAAAACGCCATTTTTTCCATGAAACGCAAACCAAAAAACGCCATTCTTTTCATAAAACACAAACTAAAAACCACCATTTTTTTCATGAAACGCAGACTAAAAAATCACTTTTTTCTTATGAAACACAAACCAAAAAATGCCATTTTTCCACAAAACACAACCCAAAAAACGCCATTTTTTCCACCAAACCCAAACCAAAAACCGCCATTTTTTCCATAAACCCAACCCAAAAAACGCCATTTTTTCCACAAAACCCAACCAAAAAACGCCATTTTTTCCACAAAACCCAACCCAAAACCCACCATTTTTTCCACAAAACCCAACCCAAAAAACACCATTTTTTCCACCAAACACCCCAAAAAACACCATTTTTTTCAAGAAACACAGACTAAAAAATGACTTTTTTTCCATGAAACACAGACTAAAAAATGACTTCTTTTTCCTTAAACACAGACAAAAAAATGAATTTTTTTCATGAAACACAAACCAAAAAAGGCCATTTTTTTCACGAAACACAGACTAAAAAACACCATTTTTTTCATGAAACACAGACTAAAAAATCACTTTTTTTTCCTTAAACACAGACTAAAAAATCACTTTTTTCTCATTAAACACAAACCAAAAACCACCATTTTGTTCATGAAACACAGACTAAAAAAAGGCCATTTTTCCCTTAAGCACAAACTAAAAAACACCATTTTTTTCATGAAACACGGACTAAAAAATCACTTTTTTCTCATGAAACACAGAATAAAAACTGTCATTTTTTTCATAAAACACAAACTAAAACCCACCATTTTTTTCATGAAATGCAGACTAAAAAATCGCTTTTTTTTCATGAAGAACAAACCAAAAAACGCCATTTTTTTCCACAAAACACCCTAAAAAACGCCATTTTTCCCATGAAACTGACTAAAAAACCGCCATTTTTTCCACCAAACCCAACCCAAAACCCGCCATTTTTTCCACCAAACACCCCAAAAACCCACTTTTCCCCCCAAACCGTGCCCAGACCCCCATTGCCGATGACGACACGCCTTGGGCTGACCTGGAGGAGGCCGAGCGGGCGCTGCCGGAGTTTCTCCTCCATGTCCGCGATGAGTTTGTTGAGCGCCGCGATGACCTTGGAGAGCTCCGAGATGTTCTCGTTCTGCCGCCGCGCCACGTTCTGCTCCATCTTCTCCAGTTGGCCGAGCAGGAGCCGCTCGTGGTCGCGCAGGAACTGCCGCAGCCGCTCGAAGTCGCTGAGGAGCTTCTGACGCTCGCTCGACATGGTTGTCTTGGGGGGAAATGGGGGAAAAATGGGAAAAAAAGGGAAAAAATTGGGTTTTTTTTCATGGGAATGTCCCACCCAACGCCCAAGATGAACATTGACTTTGACCAAAATTTGTGGGGAAAGCTTCTGAAAGCTTGAGGAAGCTCTCGATGGTTTTCTTGGGGGGAAATGGGGGAAAAATGGGAAAAATGGGAAAAAAAGGGAGAAAATTGGGGTTTTTTTCATGGGAATATCTCACCAACTTCCAGGAAGAACATTGACTTTGACCAAAATTTGTGGGAAAAGCTTCTGAAAGCTTGAGGTGGCTCGCCATGGTTTTCTTGGGGGGAAATGGGGAAAAAGGGGAAAAAAGGGAAAAAAAAGGGAAAAAATTGGGGTTTTTTTCATGGGAATGTCCCACCCAACGCCCAGGAAGAACATTGACTTTGACCCAAATTCATGGAGAAAAATTGCAAAACATCGAGGTAGTTTTCGATGGTTTTCAGGGAAAAAGAGGGAAAAAAGAGGAGAAAAAAGGGGGAAAAAAGGAAAAAAAAGAGGAGAAAAAGAGGAAAAAAAGAAGTTTTTTTTCATGGGAATATCCCACCAACTCCCAGGAAGAACATTGACTTTGACCAAAACTCATGGAGAAAACGTCCAAAACATTGAGGTAGCTCCCGATGGTTTTCTTGGGGGGAAAGGGTGGAAAAAGGGGAAAAAAAGGAAAAAAAGTGGGAAAAAAAGAGGGAAAAAAAAGAGGGAAAAACAGGAGAAAAGAGGAAAAAAGAGGGGAAAAAGAGGGGGAAAAGAGGGGAAAAATGGGGGAAAAAAGGGGAAAAAAGAGGGGAAAGAGAGGGGAAAAAGAGGGAAAAAAGAGGGGGAAAATAGGGAAAAATAGGGAAAAAAGAGGAGAAAAAGGGGAAAAAAGGGGAAAAAAAGGGGAAAAATTGGGTTTTTTTCAGGAGAGAAGTCTTTGGAATGTCCCACCCAACTCCCAAGAAGAACATTGACTTTGACCCAAACTCATGGAGAAAACGTCCAAAATGGGAAAGGGGAAAGAGAGGGAAAAAAGAGGGATAAAAGAGGGGGAAAATAGGGAAAAAGAGGGGAAAGAGAGAGAAAAAAGAGGAGAAAAAGGGGAAAAAATAGGGGGAAAAAAAGGAAAAAAATCGGGTTTTTTTCAGGAGAGAAGCCTTTGGAATGTCCCACCCAACGCCCAAGATGAACATTGACTTTGACCCAAATTCGTGGAGAAAAATTCCAAAACATCGAGGTGGCTCTTGATGGTTTTCTTGGGAGGAAATGGGAAAAAGAGGGAAAAAAAAGGAGAAAAAGGGGAAAAAAGGGGAAAAAAAAGGGGGAAAATTGGGTTTTTTTCAGGAGAGAAGCCTTTGGAATGTCCCACCCAATGCCCAAGAAGAACATTGACTTTGACCAAAATTCGTGGAGAAAAATTGCAAAACCTCGAGGTGGCTCTCGATGGTTTTCTTGGGGGGAAATGGGGGAAAAAGGGGAAAAAAAGGGGAAAAAAAGGGGAAAAATTGGCGATTTTTTCAGGAGAGAAGCCTTTGGAATGTCCCACCCAACGCCCAAGATGAACATTGACTTTGACCCAAATTTGTGGGAAAAATTTCTGAAACCTCGAGGTAGCTCACGATGGTTTTCTGGGGGGGAAACGGGGAAAAAAGGGAAAAAAAGGGGAAAAAAGGGGAAAAAAAGGGGAAAAATTGGGGTTTTTTTAGGAGAGAAGCCTTTGGAATGTCCCACCCGATGCCCAAGATGAACATTGACTTTGACCTAAATTCGTGGAGAAAAAATGCAAAACATCGAGGTGGCTCTTGATGGTTTTCTGGGGGAAAAATGGGGAAAAAATAGGGGGAAAGACGAGAAAAATGAGAAAAAAGAAGGGAAAAAAAAGAGGGAAAAGAAGGGGAAAAGAGGGGGGAAAAGGGGAAAAATGGGGAAAAAACAGGGGGGAAAATAGGGGAAAAAGAGGGAGAAAAAAGAAGGAAAAGGAGGGGGGAAATGGGGAAAAAAGAGGGGGAAAAGAGGGAAAAAAGAGGGAAAAAAGAGGAGAAAAAGGGGAAAAAAGAGGGGAAAAAAAGGGGAAAAATTGGGGTTTTTTTCAGGAG